ATAGGGCAAGAAGAGGGATCATTTCTGCTTAATAGGAGCTCACAGAGAAAGTGACACTGGAGTTGAGTTCTGATTTGAAGAGAATAGCTCCAGGAAGGGAGGGAGGGAATAATAAACCAATTGTAATAGCTAAGATATAGCACTTACTGTAGGGCAGGTGGTATTCTAAGTGCTTTCACACATTGCAGGCCCTATTACAACTCCAGGAGGTGGCTACTATCATTATTCCCACTTTACCAATAAAGCAAGGGAGGCACAGAGAAGTTAAGTAACTTGTCCACATCACACAACTAATAAGTGGCAGTGTCAGGATTTGTCATCAACTTCTAGGGCCTGTGCTCTTCACCAGTCAAGGAATTGGGTATTAAGTTCAGGGGAGGATTCATTCCAGTCTGTTATTAGCCATGTGGAGCAGAGAGAGTTTAATCAGCGGATTTGGTATGATCCCAGACACTCTAGATTATGAGGACAGTGGTAGCAGTTGGGAGTAGGTAACATACATCTGAAGATTTGTGAGACTGCGTCTGATTTAAATCATGGCAAAGAAGGTTTAGTATTTCTTTGTTCTTAATGCCAGAGGCAAAAATAATTAAAATTGTGTCACAAAGGAACCAACAAAAAACTAAACGACTAAGAATAGGAAAAACAAAGAGGAAGATAAGACATTAAACATGAACAGTGGGGAAAAATATCTAGAGAATTGTAGAAAGATAAACTTGTGGTCTTAGTACTTTCTAAATTTTCTAAATTTATAGTATGTATATGCATATGTGTAAAATAAGTATATAAAATATATGCATATGTAATTCACGTGTACACTGTATGCAAATATGTATATTTATATATAGTATATTTGGGGAAAGCACTTAATAAGAATTTGACATCTGACCAGGAATGGTATCTTCAGTTTTGAAAGGCCCAAATTGATAATTGTAATAAAAATGGAAAATTCTGGGATATGGCACATTCCAGAAAGTAGCCAGAAAAAAAAATTACTATATATTGTGTTTACTCTAAATTATTAGTGTCATCGGATGCAACATTTGTAAACTTTGATGGGCTGATATTTTAAAAGCAAATTAAATTGGAGTTCAGATTGCTCATATTCTTTTTTTTTTGCAGTTTTTGGCCGGGACTGGGTTTGAACCCACCACCTCCGGCATATGGGGCTGGCACCTTACTCCTTTGAGCCATAGGCACTGCCCCAAGACTGCTCATATTCTTTTCAAAGGAAGTATCTTAAATGCTTTAAATAAAATTTCTCCATTTTTGGGCAGTGTCTGTGGCTCAAGGAGTAGGGTGCTGGCCCCATATACCGAGGGAGGTGGGGGTAGGGGTGGGGGTGGTGGCAGGTTCAAGCCTGGTCCCGGCCAAAACTGCAAAAAGAAAAAAATTCCTCCATTTTCATAAAGAGATGATTTTTTTTTTTTTTAAAGTAGCAGGTAGGGCTGCATTAGGTGAATTTCATAGGAAAGAGAAGTTGGAGGTGCCTAGTCCCCTGGGCTTGTTCTGAGGGCACAAACAAATAGGATATGAAACTGTTCCATAAAAATTGAGACAATTATATTATTGAGATTTTTGTGTTTTCATTATTCTGCAGAGGAAACTGGGGTAAAAAGCCCAAGTCCCCATAACTTGCACCAACTAAATCTATTTCAACTTGATCATATCTGTAACCTTTAGAGATGGCATTGGTTAACAGTAGTATTGTCATAACACCACATATTTACAGAGCATGTTTCACTAGAACATTCTTATCAGAATCATTCCTGTTGGGCCTTCTGAAGGCAGAAGATGGGGCAGGGCAGGCAGAGAGAAAGGTAAGCTCTGCTTGGCCCCTGTAGCTCAAGCAGCTAGGGTGCCAGCCACATATACCGGAACTGGTGGGTTCGAATCCAGCCCGGGCCTGCCAAACAATGACAACTACAACCAAAAAAAAAAAAAAAAATAGCTGGGTGTTGTGGTGAGCGCCTATAGTCCCAGCTACTTGGGAGGCTAAGGCAAGCACATCGCCTTCTACTAGGAACATACTCTCTAGTCTGAATTTTGCCATCATCACCCCACAATGCCTTCAGGGTAGGAGTGGTGGAGCTCAAACACTGTGGCTTCATCAAGTCTAAAGCAGGAAGTGACTGGGGGCTGGCTGATGTGGGTCTCCTTCCCCATCCTCCTGCCCAACAGCCCCAACAGCAAGAGGAGCTGTTCTTTTTTAGCACAAAGAAAAATAGATAAAAGGAGAGAGTAGGGGAATAAAATGTTTTCCTAAAGCTCTTCAACAGCTTTGGGGAGGGGAAAACTAGTTGGTTCCATTTCCTTCTGTTATTATCTGCATCTGTGCTGTACAGAATAACATGGCTTTGAGACAGCCTGGCAGGTTTGGGTGTCTACTCTGTGGGAGGACAGCAGGAACTCACAGCCCTCAGAGGAGTCACTTTAGGCAGGGCAGGCATTATTTAACAATGTGTGTGCACATTTCTCTGAGGATAAACCAGTAGCTGCCAGGGGCGGTGCCAGGGGAGGAGACAGCCAGAGAGCAGGCAGGCCCGGGATTTGTTGAGCAGGAAGCAGCCCACTTGGGAAGAACTTTCTCTGCCTGGGCCTGAGCCTGCACTCATAAACACTGTCATTTGTTTATTTATTGTGCATTCACTAATGTTCAGTTCACAGACAGCACCTAGTATCTTCGCAACATAACAAAAACACAGTTCTCATTTTTCAGATGTGGTAGCAGGGAGGTTGGGGACCTGCTGAAGGGCCAAGCTGGGAAGCAGCAGTGTGAGCACACTCCAAGGGGCCATCTGGTGCTCTCCAGGTAGGAAATGCCCACTGCTAAGGATCTCCATGTCTCTAGTATTGTCCCTTCTAGGTCTCATCTTTTGTTCCTATAAGGCCTAAAATTTCCCCCTTGAATTTAAACACAAAGACTAAGAAGCAGTAATCTCCAGAAAATCATTGTGGAACTGTGTAATCAGTGAAATTACACAGAGAAAGGCAATCCTCTGGAGCAGCTCCAGTTGGTAGTGAAGAGCCAAGATGTGGGAGTTGAGGTAGGAGTTGGGGGAAGGTGGAGGCCAAGCTCTGGGAACCTGGGAATAGCCCCAGTGGGACAGGCTGTCCAGTAGGGGCCGAGCAGCAGGGCAGGGAAGAGAGATGGAGAAATTCTAAAAACTCCATCCCCACCACGAGAGGAGGCACCAGGCCCCTGCATGCTTTTGTGCTGGGTGGACTGGGAAGGATTGGCTTCCTAAAGCTGGGGTGATGCAGACGCAAATGGGCCCCAGGGGCTACTCACAGATATTGACTTTTAGTTTCGACAGTGGCTATAGACAGACTATTAACATGGCAAGTGGGATTCATATTTCTAATGATGGCATCACCTCGGGTTTTATGGAGGCATTTTTGTTCTATAAACTCAACTGGCTTTCACATGTAGCTTTTCATTTCCTACTCACAGAGCCAGCTCCGGGGCACCTATAATTATCATCACATTATATTTGGAATGGACTGTGAAACAAGGCAGTCCCTAGGCCCCAGTTACCTAGCCCACTGTGCAGGGTCATCGTTGCCACGTCTGCATCCTACCCAAGCCTTTAAAACTCACCTGGCTTCTCCTGGTACAAAGAATTGCGATTCCTTCAGTAACCAGCTTTGTGACTGGTCAGGTCTTTCAGCCTTGATTTCTGAGCTGTGAAGGTGGGGTGGTAATAATGCTTACTCAACAAGGGCTTGTCAAAAGAAATATGCATAATGTGAGCAGCAAATGTGAACCACATATGTAATTTTAAATTTTCTAGTAGACACGACTTTGAAAGTTTAAAAAGTGGAATTAACTTCAAAAAATATGCTATTTAACACAATGTATCTAAAACATTATTTTGACAAGTGGTCAATATTTAAAAACTAGTAATAGAATATTTTACATTATTTTAACTTACTGAGTCCAGGAAATCTGGGGTGGATTTTACATTTACAGCACATTTCAACTCAAGGGCTCAATAGCCACATGTGGCTGGAGGCAACAGAACTGGACAGGGCAGCTCTGTAAGGCTGTGAGGATTAGATGACCTAAGGTAGGTAAGGTGCCCTGACACCAGCTAACATATTAACACATCAACTCCTTCCCCTCTTCCTCCCTCCTCCTCCTCCCCACACCCATGCAGAATTTTCTGCATTTAAGAGGCCGAGTACTCAAGAGCCCAAAGGAGACTACACGACAAATCCAGCACTAAGCACTTATCCTAGCGTCTCTCAAGCTGATCATGTTCTTTACGTGCAGAGGTGAAAAGCTGCCCACCCTGCCATCCTTGATTTCCTTTAAGACAGCTGCCTATGGGAGCTCCTCCAGGGCGCCCCTACTCCTCTCTGGGAGGCGCTCACTCCCGGCGTTTAACTCGCCGCAATTTCCCACTCGGAATGGAAAGAACTACGCAGGGAGTCCAGGACTCTGCCCGGATGCAGGAAACCTAAGCGAATAGCTGGACACCCCAGGGAAAATGTAGCTTCAGTTCTAGGCTCCTCACTCCAAAAGGTTCCTCGATGCCTCTCCCCGCCCCCGGACTCCAGGACCCTGTTTGGAGGCAGTCCTACTCCCCGGTTCTAGGGTCCGCGGCTTTCTAGCGGCCATAGTAGGCGGGGTAGGATGGGGACTGCGGCGAGACTGCAGGGCTCGGGGATGGGTGAGGCCGCGCTCACAGATAGGGGAAGGGGCGGCCTCACTCATAGAGCGGGGAGGGAGCTGCCAGCTGGCTTGATCCAAAGCCCAACCACTGCTTTTTTCCGCTGAATGTCAGGTGGCTCCTACCCCACCTCGACCCGGCCACTAGCCAGGGCGCCTCTGCACCGTGCACCACACCCCAGCTCCCCCTAGCGGTGCGGCCGCCGGGCCAGCCACCCCCACTGCCGCAGGCCCGCCCACCATGACGTCACCGCGGGGCGGGCCCCTGGTATAAAAGGCGGAGCCGGGGGGGCGGCAGATGTCAGACTCTGCGCTGCTGAGCTTGCCGGTCCTCTCCGCACTCACTGCTCCGAGGACCAGCGCCTCCACCCGCTCCGCAACCGGCACCATGCGCGAGATCGTGCACATCCAGGCAGGCCAGTGCGGCAACCAGATCGGCGCCAAGGTGGGCGCGCCGCGGCAGTGGGGGCCGCAGGCCGGGGTGTGGGGCGCCGAAGGTGCTGGCCGAGGCGGGGGCGGGGGCTCAGGGAAGGCTGCTACAGCGCCAGGCTGCCGGTGTGGCATATTCTGCGGCCATGCCGCCGGGTGGGGCCCAAGAAGCTGCTCGACCTGCCACGATGCCCGCGGCGACGCAGCTGTGTGTGTCTTTAATCAGGGCCTTTTAAATATCCTTCATACTCAACCCTTATGCGGGCTGCAGTTAGCATTACTTTGGGTGTATTAGTCTCTAAATTGTGGATCGAGGCTACGGTCATATTTATCCGGTACCCTCGTGTGAAATTTAATTTGTATATTTTTGTGTCGTTTGAATGAAAAAATGCAGTGTCACTGGACTGACAGATGTTATAGAGGTTTTCCTTCGGGTCTCACACGTGAGGGTGTTAGATCAATTCCCTTACACAGGCATCGTCTAGACGTGATGACATATAACGTGATGCTATCGTTTCCCCTCTGCCGGGCAGCAGGTGACTGCATTGGTGGGGGCTGTAATTACCGACCACGGTGGGGAGGCAGCAGCGGCCCTGGTGCATGGGTGTGGGCGGGAGCCTGTGCAAGGACATGGTCTCTTTCAAAACCGCCATATTGCCCACCCCTGCCCCCTCTTCTGCTGCACACTCACAATGGAGTCAGAGCCCTCATGATGGCCAGCTCCTTCCACTGCTGCCCAGGCTCCTGTCTGCTGTTCCTTGCCCATTCCCTGCTGTGGTCAGTGGCATACTGTTAGAGGGCTGCATAGGGTCTGTGCCAGGAGACACTGATTCCTGGAAGCAGCCACCGGGTGGGGTCCACCTGTCCTCCATCCTGCCAGGACTCATCCATGAGCTGGGATGGAGCCACACTCAGCCCTGGCTGAGGTAACAGAACCTCCCTCAGCCTTTGCAACACCACCCCTTCCCCAGAAGGGAATCTGCTGTGTCCCCTCCTCCTCCTGTGTCCTCCTAGCCTTTCAGTCTGTCATCATAATATGGCCGATGCTCTGCGGATTTTTAAGCCCCTGGCAACAGCAGCTGCTGCAGAAAATGGGGTCGTGCAGCTCTTTGGTCTCTGTCTAGGACAAGAAACCATCTGACTGCAATGGCTGCTGCTCCAAGATCATGGCAGGAAGATAAGACCATCCTTGGTGACATTAGGATGTCACACCATGATGTGATTGTTCTTTCATTTCAGTTTTGGGAGGTCATCAGCGATGAGCATGGGATCGACCCCACAGGCAGTTACCATGGAGACAGTGACTTGCAGCTGGAGAGA